ATTCCCTATTGTACTACCCACAGCCAGCGGAATCAGCATCTCACCACAGCTGGAGGCCACCACAAGAACAGATGCTGTCCTTCCTGATACAGTTAAAAAGTACTCTGCCCAGCTCAAAGCAGTAGGAAAGATTGACGCCATTGAAACTCCCAAAATAACTGTCCCCACCCACAGCTTTGTCGAGTCTGCAGCACAACAGTCGCCATCCTTAATCTGTGAAATAAGTACTACTGATCCTAACACACAGCCCATTAAGTCCAGAAACAGTATCTTTGATGGTCTGAGGTACCTTGAGATCGGCACTGCTGCAAGCCGTGCCAATGCAAAGCTTCCCCAGAACCCAGATGTTAAAAATGCCGAACTGTCCTTGCTCATTGTTACATTACTTGTGTAACCATAGGTAAAGATGTATCCGGCGTATGCAACCTCAAGACCCACATAAAGCAGAAGGAAAACAGAAAATAGTGACAGAGTGGTGACTCTGTACATCAAGCTACCCTCTTTGGTCTTTGGAGCATCCTCATCCTTGTTATCCTTGTCCTGTAAGCTGCATGATTTGATGAAAACAAAGACTAAGAATCCAACACCAGCAATAGAAAGAGGAATTGAGCTGATCCAGTATGCCCATATCACAGGAAAGGTACTACCATCTGTTTCATTGAAGGTGGTGCAGAAACAGTAACATCTGGTGTATAATGTCTCGTTACTTAAACACTGACTGCTGTTGCTGCAGTAAGCCCATGTCACACTGATACCGTCATTGCCAGTGCGATCGGTATCATTTTTTTCAGGGTTGGTACTCTCTTGAAGGAATGGTTGCACTATGAGTGGAGCAAAAAATGCACCAAGCGCAAACACAAAGTGGAGAATTTGCACATATGGCCGTGATTTCTTGCCCCATGTACTTAGCAGAAGTACATTTCCACCTGAAGTAAAATAAAAATACAACAAATTATTGTCCACAGGTAAGAACAGTCATTAACACGGCAGCACATTACACCTAATAGTGCACTAGAATACCAGTGATTTTGTTACAAATAAGTATGGCGAATCCTGAGACTCAACTTAAGAGAAGTCATGAGTCCCTGTCCAAAACCATTGAGTTCCAGTCAGAAAAACAACAAGTCACTGCAGGTCTTAATGTAACAACACAGTTAATCTAAGGACAGACTCCAAAACTCTGTGTTACAGTTACAGAAATAAAATATATTCCTTCTATTGTCAAGCACAACAAAAACTAAAAGAAATATGAGATGTTAAACAACATCCACAAGAAGAGCCACAGAAATCACGCACACAGGATATTCTACAAAAACATCTTGAGATCAATCAATCGATCTTTGCATTCTACTGGATGCATGCACACCACAAATTACTTTGCGACTTTGGGAATTTTATACGTCAGGGATGCAGGACGCAGAGGTAACAAAATCACTGACTACAGTACACTTACATTGCATTCTTAAGTCAGGACAAAGGCAACTCCAAAATAACTTTGTTTGAAACTCTTCATCAAGGCATTCACTAATATTTCAAGTTGTTGGATAAATAGAGGATATTAAATGGCCGCGCGGGGATACAAATTTTATCTTTGAGTGCTGAAAGTATCTCTCACAAGTGAGCAAAGTGAACGAGTGAGAGATACTTTCAGCACGAGAAGATAAAATTCGTATCCCCAAGCGGCCATGTAATGTTCTGTTTATTTTATAGATACTGATGAAATTCCTACATAAAAGACAACTTTTTTTTAATTCATTTTCAAAACGGCAAAATAGTGCAATTAAAGTGGTCACCTATCACAAAATGCCTGTCACAAAAAATGTTATGAAACTCGGATATAAAGTTATAAAGGAGAAAAAAAGACAACAATACAACAATACTATGCATGTGTAACACAATTCTAAATAAATGAAAACCTGATTTAACTGCTCCCCAAGCCTAATTTTAAAACAATTATGAATTATATAATCACTTTACACTAAGCCTAGACAACTAATAGTCAGGGTTTGCAAATTTTAATTGATGAGTGGAGTCACTGTGACTTCTGCTTCACAAATTTTGTAGTCATTTTAGAATATTTGGAGTCAAGTATTACAATAAAACTGAACCACAGCATCGATACTGTAGTTTTACACCCACATTATTGCTCAGGTATGAACTCCATGAATATGCCCTAAAACTGATATTACATCTAAATAACTGGAGTGTGAATTCATTGTCTACTGTATGTACCTGTATTGAGAGATCCAAGGCCCACTCCCAACAACACAGTAACAATAACCAGTCCCAGCAGAGATGTGACATATGGCAAAACCATCATCATTAGAGTGCCCCACACACAGGACAGTGCTAACATGACATGGCCATTATACTTGTCATAAAACCATCCACCAATAATGCTACCTGTGAGGTAACCAAATGCACGTGAGGTGAACACATATGACATACGCTCCAGTTTGGTGGAGGTGTGGCACATCAGCTCCAAAAGCGTAGGCCCGAGGATGGCCACACATGATCCCTATGAGATATTGATTATTGTATGAGGTTCATTGTAATATTATTACAGAGCTTAAGCAAAAACATTTTTGAGAGACACAAGTCAACTGGAAGTGTAAACGTTTTGCATTCTTGGGCATGAAAAAACACATTAACCTGAAAAAGTGTAGCAGATGTCTATCTCACTGATTGTAGTTCCAGCACAAAATGGTAGTATCTAGAAATAATTATCTGTTATATTTATATTCCTTACTAAGCAATGGCCAGAGACCTAAGTAGATTTATAATTTTGTTATAATTTTGGATTAGGTGTGGAAAACTATTAGGGAGGTGGCTATATTTCTCTGTACTTGTTTGGTGCCCATTTTAGCAATCAAAAATGCTTTTGGGGATAAATTTCAATGGCAAAAGTACTTCAAGAAGAAATGGAAGCAATTAGGACCATAAGCCCCAAAATAAGAGTGGAAATTGAAGTAAAGATACAATTGTAGATCGGCTGACTTTTATTGGCTTTGTTGGCCATAATTATTATGATCTTCAAATGTGATAAAATTTGCTTTTAAGTTTGGTTTTTTACTTTTAACACCCTGCTCAATTTTTCATCCAGCTTTAAACAGTGTTTTCTACCCACAGGGTGTGTACTCCCTTTTATGGCAGATATGGGAATGTGCCGCTGGAAGGGGTATGGTTTTTGTCCTCTCTGTCCTAAACAGGGTACATAGTTTCACGCAAGTTTGTCCTTAACAGGGTATATAAATTCATGTGAGTCCTGTCCTAAACCCGGCATGATTAATTTGATTTGCTAGATGAAATTTGTTTGTACTCCAGGTACAAAAGCAATTATTAGAATGTAAATTTGCTGCATTGCAATTGTTGATAAATGGATTTAAATGCAGACAGCATGCATTTTGTCCTTTGTCTTAAACAGGGCATGTATTTTCGGATTTTTGTCTTCAAAGACAAAAAAATCCTAAAATAAAAACAGGGTGAGGGTTTCAACTAGTATACCTAAGTATTGGTACAGAGACCAGCATCCCTTCCCCCACCCCCACTTGGGGTTTTCTGCAGAATATACACAGTGCGAAAATTATTTTGGACTTTTCCTCACATGGCCTAATGGTATATACATTTTTTTTCTTCCAAGCACACAACCTCAGATTCAAATTTCTGTTGAGTAAATATATGTTCTTTTATTTTTTATTACTGATTTAAATTTTAACTCTTGTTCGACCTTTTGATAGGACAGAACAGAATGGAAAAAGAGACACTCTTTAAGGTGGCTCCGTAATTAATACTAGAGCATTTTGCTGTGACAAATTTTCCGTCATAACTTTTTGGTTTTTAACGCGATGGCAGCGAAACTTTGCAAACAGAAACAGATATCATTCGGCAATAATACGAAATATTCCGATTTCATTGATGGTAAATATTTCTTGAGAAATTAGCGCTTAAAAGGACCCTACTGTTCAAAGAAAATCGCTTCTGGTAAAAAATTTTGCTGATATTTTTTACTGAAATTTCTGGTATCGACTTTAATTGATATAATAAATATGCCAGAGGAATTTCAGAAAAATCGTTGGAGCAGAAGTCCGTAACTAAAAGTGGCTCAAAATTCAGCTGTGAAATTGTTTTGGAATTTCAAAAATAAATTACTATCAGGGAGAAGGAGCCACCAGTTTGAATTTTCGGGACAAGTAAATTCAACGTTTACTAATTCTTAAAACAAAAGCCGATTGCCTATCGTGCTATTCTTTAAAAGGTACTTTTTAGTTTTAGAAGCACTATAAATTGCTCCAAACCTTGCTCTGAAGTAGAATGACTTGTTCTTCGACAGTTTTAAAATATCCCTTGGCAGTTTTGGCTCAAACTCCTGCTGCATACATTTTGATGTATTGCAATGCAATTTCAACGACTTTTACTGCTGTTCGTTGCTTCCAACTCAGGAAAAAAGTATTGAGATTGGACGCTACCTCGTATCAGAGCTCAGATAGAACTCTCCAGCACCTTTGTTTATGACTACAAAATGAGCACGAGCGGCAGTTCTGCGAGGAATTCGCACCTCACCCAGGGGGGACGAACGACAATGATGACCATGCCTGTGAACCGAATAACATCACAGTGCAAAATAAAATTATCGCAAAAATACTGCCCGTGAATAAATTTACAACTCTGAAATTTTTGTCACTCCTTCCTTCAATGAATGGGTATTTTTTTTCTTGATTATTATGTTTTGCTCTGCAATACATGTTTATACAGATCGGTTCACAGACATGGGCATCATTGTCATTCGTCCCCCCTGGCTGAGGTGCGAATTCCTCGCAGAGCTGCCGCTCGTGCTCATTTTCTGGTCATAAACAAAGGTGCTGGACAGTTCTATCTGAGCTTCGATACAAGGTAGCTTACAATCCCAATACCTTTTTCCTGAATTGGAAACAACGTACAGCAGGAAAAGCCGTTGAGGATGCATTGCAATACATCAAAATGTATGTAGCAGGAGTTTGAACCAAAACTGCCAAGGGATATTTTAAAAATGTCGAGGAACAAGTCATTCGACGTCAGAGCAAAGTTTGGAGCAATTTATAGTGCTTCTAAAACTGAAAAGTACCTTTTAAAGAATAGCACGATAGGCAATCGGCTTCTGTTTTCAGAATTAGCAAACACTGAATTTACTTGTCCCGAAAATTGAAACTGGTGTCTCCTTCTTCCTGATAGTAATTTATTTTTGAAATTCCAAAACAATTTCACAGCTGAATTTTGAGCGACTTTTAGTTACGGACTTCTGCTCCAACGATTTTTCTGAAATTCCTCTGGCATATTTATTATATCAATTAAAGCCGATACCAGAAATTTCAGTAAAAAATATCAGCAAAATTTTTTACTAGACGCGATTTTCTTTGAACAGTAGGGTCCTTTTAAGCGCTAATTTCTCAAGAAATATTTACCATCAATGAAATCGGAATATTTCGTTTTATTGCGGACTGATATCTGTTGTTTTTTGTAAAGTTTCGCAGCCATCGCGTTAAAATCGAAAAAGTTACGACGGAAAATCTGTCACAGCTAAATGCTCTTGTATTAATTACGGAGCCACCTTAAAAAGGGGTGTCTCAATATGTATACATTTTAGAGGCGTTCGTGAATAGTGGTTTTCGCTGAGTAGCAGCTGTCACATGAGTAGCAGATCACTGATTTTCAGTTTTCTTGACAATGTGGCCTTCTGAATTCCTCCTACAAGAACCCTAGTAACGAGGCTCCTGGTTAACTCTAAAACAGTTCTAGCCGTCCATGAGCCTGTTATCACTTTTTTGGTTGTTTATATGTCACTTAAGCTTAATCTACGCAAATATTGTTGACTGAAAACTTACAGCTTTGCTGCAACTTACCAAGCCGAAGAAACAAACGTAAAGGCAAACTGTTTTAGCTGCTCGTACAGATGAAGAAGAATACCTTGGTACGGCTTTGCTTGCTGAGACATCAGAAGCGGTGGCTTCACCATTTACATTCCTTGAAAGATTTACACCATTCGCTTTCGACTTTTGAAGATACTCAACCATTTCGTCATCTTCGTCGTCCCAAGCGCGGAGAGTCTCCGCCATTTCGTCTGAGCTGGCTTGCTGATGCGAACTTCTTGCGCTCCTTTGAACAGTCGACCATCCAGCCATCTTGCAGAATAAAAAATGTACTTTGCTTCAGTTCACGTTTCCGAAATTCGACGCTGCAGATTAAGAAACAAAATCCCGCTGAATTCCCTTCATCCCAGCTGAATGTTTATAAACAGCGGGATCACTCACTGCGCCGTGCTATCTGTCACCTGGTCAAAAGGGGCTCTCCCTTCCAAGGGTACCTTAGTAAAAGGTATCTAAAAAATGAAATAGAAACCGGAAAAAAATGATAAATTTTCCGCACTTCTGTGTCATTTGTATCAAAATATCCTTAAATTTATTTTATGCGATTAAATTTTTTCAAATTCTATCCCTGAAAGATAAAATTAGAATACAATGAATATTTCTACCCTCCCCTCCCTACTCTAAGAGCCATCGAACTTTGATCAAGAGGAAAACCGCGGGAGATATCCCAGGCTATCTCGTATTTCAAAATGGCGGCTCTGTCTGTCTCTCAGCTTTCAATGTCATGGCTGGCGCTTTTGTCGTATCTGGATAAATCAGGTTTGAAGAATGGACTGGCCTTTTTAGGTAAGCGATCGAATACTGATTTTATCATCTTTTTAGAAAGGGAAAAATTCTTTTCCGGAAGCGGAGTTACTGTTAATCACCAAGCTATAGCTACTAGCGTCTCCAGTTTGCCCTTGTAGATCTATCTCCCATTTGGAATTTTGACTAAACAAGCTTATTGAAGTAGACTAGAAAAACGTGTCTCGCAAAATCTCGTGAATTCGGTGTGAACAGTAGTCACTAGACTCGTATGCGGTCGTTTTTTGTATGAATAGTGTCACTCAAAAAGCAATGGACTCTTGTAAATTCAACTTACTATTTGAAGTCTACCCAGTTATTAAACCTGGTGGGTAAAAGATAACAGTTCATGCTGTGCATTGTTGTTAAATTACCTGCAAATAAGTTGAAGGGTAATCTAAACTAACTAATTTTAAAATTCTGTTTTGCAAGAAGGCTTGACCTATGAATCCTGGGGGGAGGGGGGGAGTACTTCCCTATAAAAGTGTCAGGGTTGCTCGTCGGAAAATTTGGAGAACACCCCCTAAAAGGTACGAGAATCTTGTTTTATGAGTTTGGCCCAAATTCATTTCCACCCCTACAAAGAGGTACCAATTCAACAACAACAAAATTTAATTATATAACTGGCACTGCAAATGTTAAAGTAATAAAGATAACTTGCAAACACTTTCTTCTCGAGGACTTTTTGAAAGTAATGTCAAAATTCTTTATCTGGCAGCAGCCATTTTAGGTTTTAGCACCCTTCTTGACAAGTAAATTGGATGTTCCAGAAAAAATCGTTACTTGTATTGTA